TTCCAAAGGAGAAAATAAGAATCTTTACACACTCCCTATTGCTTCCCTTGCTCCTGCTGAGCCCCAGTGCAACTTGCTTCCACTTTCCTCCCTCCTCCTCCCTCTCTTCTTTCTTTTACAGAGGTTCACGAGCACCTGCTCTGGCCGGTGCTGTGTGGTGGCCCCACCTTCCCACCCACTCTGCTCCCCAATATGCCCCCGGGGCCCTGACCTCATCCAGGACCCCAGTCTATCCCTGGGCCCCCTCAAGTCACATCCCTTATACAGTCACTCCCCCCCCCCCACCCGGTACCTCTTCTCTGTAGACCTTCATTGTGACTGAGCCCTGAGGACAGAACACCCTGGGAAAGAGAGATGAAGGATTCTCCAAGGAACCAGCTATAGCCATGTATTTGCTAACATATTTGTCCTGCTGGGAGCCAAAGTTTTGGAGCTTTTATACATTAAGTTTTCATTAAAAAGGAATGACAACAACCCAGTCTTATCAGGTTTTTTGTTTGCAGTCCCAAGGGTCTTATTAGCTGGCTATGACCCAGGACTGCTTCCTTGCTTCCTTTGAGCCTCAGATTCAAATGAACATTTGGCTTTCAAGATCCCTTCAAGTTCTAAATCTTGTGTGATCTTGGGGATGTGAATCCACTCAGGCTTGGTAACAGCCAGGAGTCATCAAACATCACCCTCTCTGGGCTCACCTCCCAGTGATAAAAAAAACACGTGCCCAATTCCATCACTCCATGGGTGTGCAGGAGGAGGTGGTGAGCTGGACCAAGGGTCTGCCAAGACTGTCTGAGCTGGGGATCCCTTCTGCTGCGTCTGCGGAGAGAATGGAGTAGCCTGCCTTCCAGTGAAAGGGGTCCCATCCTGCAGGAAAGGACCACGGGGCGAGCTGTGAGGTTGTGTGGGAAAGCTGGGGGGTTGTGAGAAAGTGGGGGTTTATCATGCTTTAGAACAGAGCTTGGGAAGGTGAGGGTGGGAGGAGAGATTCAGCCTTTTCCAGCGTTGTCAATGACCAGGCATGATGTCAGAAACGAGGTAATGAACAGGGAGGGTACAGAGAAGGAGACAGGGGAGGGCAGAGGAAAGGGGCAAAGACTTGAGTATCTCCCTGGGGAGTTCAGTGAGGGGCTGCACTGGTTCCCAGAGCCACGCGGGTTGGGGTTGGCCCAGCATAGGTCTGCTGACCCCCTTCCAGGGATCTTGGGACCCTAGGGACAGAGAGGAAGCCCTGCAGCATTTTCTGAGGTTCTAGCACGTGCTCAAAGTATCCTTTCCATTTCTGGCTCTCCAGGCAGCTCAGGATCGGAATTAAATCTACGCTCTCCCTCCACCGGGTTATCTTTGCCGACAGCCTTCCTGTGGGGGGCGGGGGGGGCTGGCCTCAGTGAGGGGCAAGGCCTGGCTCCCCGATGTTCAGTCTCCCCCAGCCCTCCCCAGGCAGGGAGTGAGCCTGCAGAAGCAGCCTCGCCATCAGCACTGCCTGGGTCTGTGTCAGCAGCAAACAGCTTCCCTTGCACCTCGGGAGGAAGTGTTAATGAGAAGAGCGGTGGGGAAGGGTTGTGCCTGCCTGCGGTTGTAACAGTTTGCTCCTTTTGGCTCCTGGGGACTGAGGAACTTACACAAGGAACACGCCTTCTTGAGGGTACGACAGTTAACGCTAATAAAGAATGTGGGTACGTTTGTAGCAGACAACGAACATAAAGGGCCCAGTGCAAACAGCTCTGAAGCAAAGATCCCGCCAGGACCGCAGCTGCCAGAAGGGACAGGACGGTGACCAGCAGCCCACCCCACAGGGCTAGGGCGGCACTGGGAGCTACAGAAAGGTGAGGGCTAAGCTTTGCCTCTGCGTGGCTGAGGCCCCTAAGGACGACCCAGCCCATCCACAGCCCCCTGCCTTCACACCCAGGTCCAAAGCAAACCCCCTCCCGTCTGTTTCCCAGGGAGGGAAGGGATCCAATAAGCCCTGACTGAAGTGAGTCCTGCTTGAGTTCAGGCTCTACCCATCTGCAGCCTTCCCCTCAGCAGCAGTAGAGAGGGACTTTCTTGTCAAGAGCCATCGCTGGGTTACAGGGCGGGCGTCCGTGCCCTGGTCCTCGCCTCACGTCATTGCCCTTTTCTACGGCACAATCCGTGGTTGAAGAGAAGGCCTCCATCCAGAAACCAGAGCCAGGCTGGGAATGAAGAATGTAACAAACATAAATGTCTGTTCAGACCCTACGAAGTGCACACGCAGCGTCAGCACTAGAAGAACAAGGCAGCAGGGACCACAGAAAAGAATGAAGACACAGTCCCTACCAACAAAGATCTGTGTCGAAAAAGATGGGCCGAGGAGACAAAGCAGCTGACAGGAAATAACGGCAATGCATGGCAAGTCCTCGTGAACAGGGGCTGCGGTCCTGGTAGCCAGGGGCTAGGAGGGCAGGCTTGGTTCACCACCAGCTTTTGTTTCGCTGAGGGGACACTGTGAGGGTGGAGGCTGGAACCCACGGGTTTGAGAGGCTGAGGAGGAGGGGGCTGGGGAGAAATCGTATCCGGCAGCTCTGGGAGAGAGACAAGTTTGGGAAAACAGAGAGGTGTTGAAGTGCGACTGGGGGAAATTTTGTCCCACGTGAACTATGTGAAGCTCTCCTCAACTTCCCATAAAACCTTTCATTAAAACTATTTTGCAAGGGAGATGAATTAATGTCAATTTGGGGGACATGAATTATTGTCGGGGGCCCCAATAATGGACTGAGGCCAGCTCAGAGGGCCAGACCTGGGGTGGACCAGGGGGCTAGACACTCCTGGGTTATACAGCTTGAAGTGGGGTTCAAGTTCCCAGAATGGGAGGTGTCTGGGGCCTCAGGCAAGTGGGAAGGGAATGCTTTGCTGGGCCTGGAATGATGGCTGGGAGAGAAAGGCGGCGGGCTCTGAGGGGGAGTCCAGGGGGGTTTGTAAGATGGTGTGAAACTGTGATGGAAAGCCTCAAGCCCTGGACAAGTGAAAGGTTTTACTGAGGTGGAAGGCAGGGAGGTGGCAGCGGATAGGACACAGGTCACTGATTCTGATCTCCTCTGGCCTGTGTATCAAAGAATTTCACCTACCTCACCAAAAAGCTGGGGAGACTGTCATCTCCCACCTGGGCTGATAAACAGTTCCCCAACCGGGCTCCTGCCTGCAGTCTCTCCCTCCCTCCAATGTGTCCTCCACATACAGTGGCACTAGAATAATCTTTTAAAAGTCCAGTCGTCAGGGACTTCCCCGGCGGTCCAGAGGTTAAGACTCCGTGCTTCCAATGCAGGGGGTGTGGGTTCGATCCCTGGCTGGGGAACTAAGATCCCGCATGCTGTGAGGTGCGGCCAAAAAACTTAAAAATAAATAAAGTCCTTCAATGAGCCTGCATCACCTACACACACCCCCCCACACACACACACCAGATTTCATCTAATTCCTGAGCAGGGCAGGAAGCACACATAATCAGGCTGTGTCCATCTTTCCAGCCTCATCCGTGTCACTTCCCTTCACCCCTCACACTCCATCACACTGAACTACACACAGGTCCTCAAACACAACTTGCTTTTTCACACCTCAGGGCCTTTGTATATGCTCTCCCCACCCCATCCCCCACCTCTGCCTGAAGTTCTTTCCTCAGCTCAACTGCCAACATCTCGGAGCATTCTGTGAACCTCTCTCTCTACCTGCTACTGTATTTCCACAGTACGCTGAATACAGCACTTCCACGTTGTATCATCACCATGTTATCATCTGTGTATGTGTCTATAATTAGAGGACAGGACCAGATGGTATTCTTTGCAGCCCAGGAGCTAGCACAGCACCTAGCTCATTGCTGGCATTCAGAAAATTTTCAATGAATGAGTCAATTCACAACTCAAAAGGGCCCACAAAGAAGACACCCTTTAAGGAGTCTGTCCAGCTGACAAAGACCCCCTTTTCTCTTAGAACTGCCCCAGACACCAACTGGACTGTAGGTGGACGTCTAATCTGAATTGAGCCAAATGGATTCCTTCTAAGAAAAGAGGAAATAACTCCAAGAAAAGCAAATTTGTTTCTGGAACTACTACATGTAAACTCTGGGGACCATGCAAACTCCACCATTTAAAATGGACAGTAGAGGACTTCACTGGTGGTGCAAGAATCCACCTGCCAATGCAGGGGACACGGGTTCAATCCCTGGTCTGTGAAGATCCCACATGCTGCGGAGCAACTAAGCCCATGTGCCACAACTCCTGAGCCCACGTGCCACAACTACTGAAGCCCATGTGCTGCAACTTCTGAAGCCCGTGACCTAGAACCCGTGCTCCACACTAAGAGAAGCCACTGCGGTGAGAAGCCGGCACACCGCAAAGAAGAGTAGCCCCCGCTCGCTGCAACTAGAGAAAGCCCACACGCAGCAACAAAGACCCAATGCAGCCAAAAAAAAAAAAGATAAAAAAATAGAGTATCAATCCTTACGTTTTAAAAATAATTATAATAAAAAAATAAAATGGACAGTAGAAAAAGTCACTGCTTAAAAAAGAAAATGAACTAGCCATCTAGAGGACTTCAGAAAGCTTTCTGATGCCCAGTTCCAGCCCTCCCCTGAGACCATGACAGATTCCTGTCCCGAGCTCCCTTGACACACTCTGTTTACTAATAACCTGCCTCCTACTCTGTGTTTGAGCTTCATGGGATTTCTGTTCCTTATAAATTCCTGACCACACAAGCCAACCTTTGCCCTTGGCAGAGTTGCCTGGGGGTTCTTTTCTTCAAAAAATTTCTACTTTAATACATAAATCACACTCAGGCATAAATCAGACTTTAAATCACCATACACATGCAGAACCAGCTACATAATTTATGGGGCCCAGTGTAAAATGGAATCCTTTGTTCAAAAAGTACAGTTAAAGGTACTAAAATACTTATAAAGCTTTTTCTTTTCTTCTGCAGTCTCTCTTTTGGCTTGTCGTGGTGTTTATTTGCTATTTAATGTCTAAGTAAATAAAAATTACAATATAAAATCCTTAGCATGACTTTTATCATTTATCTTTATACTGTGCAATGCCCAGATAGAGAATCACCACAGTGACTGTATTTCTTGGCTTCTCCCAGAAGATGCACCCAGCTGGTCACAAGAGATGAGTCCAAGTCGCCCCCAGACACCGAGTTGTCTAATGGAGAACTCCATCAGGCACAGGATACTTCACAGGGCAAGTGCAGACCCTTATAAGCTCCTGAAGATCCCTCCCCGAGACTCAGGCCCAGCAACCTTGACAACTGCTGGGCCCTCCTTCCCACCAGCCCCCAGATCTATGCTTTGTACCGAGGCTGGGGTCAGGAAAGCCAAGCCAGGCATCTCCCATTCCAACAGGCTGGCTGATCCAATCCACAGGAGACAGGTGAACCCCAGGGTCTTTAAACCTCCACACTGAGATGTACCCAGTATCTGGTGGGTGAGAGACCCAAGCTCACCAAGTCACCTGCTGAATGTGCCATAGAGCTGCCAAGCTGAGCAGAGATGGCCACCATTATGCCCAGCCCTAAGATTCTACGGAGCATACAGACCCTCCCTGCATGCACACTGGGCAGAGGGCAGCAATGAGCACTAGTTGAGGGAAGGGAAGGCAGGGTCTTGGAGCACCAGGGCGCTGGGAAGTGGGTGGTCAAGAACCCAACCCAGGGAGATGGGTAGGCTTCGGGAATCAGTACTACATGTGAGCCAAGGTCCAAGTCCCTGACACATGCTCCAAAGTCCCACTGGACTTCACTTATAAAGGACACATGCAAGTATAAAATTAAGAATTTCCAGACAGTGGCTATAAAGCATTAGACCCCAAGCGCCAGGCTCTTCTGACATGGAGCTCTGTGTGACTGCACTCACCATACACCCATGAAGTTGACCCTCTACACATGAAAAAGAGTTCTAGACCTTATTAAATAACATAAGAACAAGAAGCTGAGACAAAAGAAGAAAAACAAACTTCACATACATATTAAAGAGCTTTAGAACACCCAGACCCATAGGTCAAGAATACCATTCACATCTCAGTTTGAGGACGAGCTAAAGAGCAGATGTCTCTACTCCCTTCAACATAGACTGTACAACTGACAAGAGGCTGTAATATGTATAGATAAATTGGAAATAGGTTGCTAAGCACTAAGTCAGGCTTTATTCCAAAGTGTAATGCCTTTAGCTAGTCAAAGGGTATTTCATGAAGACAGACTAATACCAGAGCAAAAAAGAGGAGGAGATATTACTGGTTTCCTTTGTCCTAATAACTCATGCTTTTATAGCTTAGAAATTCAACATGAGCTTCACTTCCTAGAGGCTTATAGAAAGAACTTCCTGTTGGCACTGGCTCCAAACAAGGCCTTTCGTATTTCTGGCATCTTTTGCTGGGATAAGAGATCCAGTCGACTTTCCAGAGTATTGGAAACCATTATTCTCTGATCACCACTGTAGACCTCCACACCTCCAGCCGCATCTGCAGCCAGTTGCACCCCTCTGTCAACTTGGACTTCCACACGTTTGTGGGAGACTGTCGTGTATTGAGGGATGGCTTTTTGCACTGCAGCCTCCACCAGGAGGAGGTCCTGCGGCCTGCAGCGTACAATCACCACGGGCTCCAGCAGTCGGAGCAGACCCTGGAGCACTAGTTTATCCAGCAGCCCCTGGTAAAATACTGGGTCTGCCACGAGCCTGCTGAGTCTCAGCTTTGCATCATTCAGCAACTCTGAGACGAGGTCGTTTCGGGCTCTCAGGACTTTCAGCCTTGCCTGATTCCTCATGGCAGACATCTGGATTTTCTTCTGCTGCTCTATCTGCTTCTCTTTCTTCTCATAATACTCCATAATCTTCAGTCGCTGGGTTTGCACAAGGCGTCCTTTCTCAATGCTGAACTCTTCCTCAGCCTTGGCATCTATCTCTTCTGCCTTCTCGTTGGCTTCCTGCTCAATGAAAGCCATCATCTGCTTAATCTGCTTCTGCACATTGACATCACTCAGGGCCATGGCTGCTCCTGGAAAGGGAGGTGGAGGGAGAACTGGTGGACTCTCTGGTTCCTTTGACTTAGGGCAGAGTTTCAGGAGTGTCTCCAGAGTTCCACATTCTGAGCTGTGGAATGCATGAGGGGAGGAAGGATATAGTCAGAGTCCAAAGGGAAGGATCATGGAGACCATCTATTCATGAATCACTTGGAGGAAACTGAAGCCCAGAGAGGGAAAGCAACCTGTCCAAGGTCATACCCTAGTAGAACAGAGACCCAAACCTGGGTTCCCAGAGTTCCATTTCTACTACACTCACCACCTTTTTGTCATCAAATAATAATGAGATGATTAGGGCAGACCTCAGGAAGACTTCTAGTCAGCAATGGCTCAATCACAGATAGCAAGTGGAGAGAATGGAAATGCCAAATTAATACAAAAATGGAAAATGTAGGCACATTTTGGGTTGGAGAGGGCTGGGGAGAGTCATAAGAAACTTGTGGTTAAACAGGAAGGTTGCTTTGAAGCAAAATCCAGGAAGGTTGCCTTGAAGCAAAAAGATTTTTAGACCCTCAACTGATTCAAAGAGACAGAAAACTCATAGGCAGATGGTGGCATCCTGGAGAGAACTGCAAGGTGGGAGGGGTTGAAGGTAGTCTTTTAACTGGAAGTGGTTTCCAAACCTAGATGTACATATGAATCACCAAGGGACCTTTCAGAAATACAGCTTTCCAGGCCCCACTCCAGACTACTGAATTAGTATTTCTGCCAGTAGGGTCTGGGAATCCATATCTTAAAAAGACTCCCTGGACCCTCCTATACTGTCGGTGGGAATGTAAACTGGTGTACTCACTATGGAGAACAGTATGGAGGTTCCTCAAAAAATTAAAAATAGGGCTTCCCTGGTGCTGCAGTGGTTGAGAGTCCACCTGCCGATGCAGGGGACACGGGTTCGTGCCCTGGTCCGGGAAGCTCCCACATGCCGTGGAACGGCTGGGCCCGTGAGCCATGGCCACTGAGCCTGCGCGTTCTGAGCCTGTGCTCCGCAATGGGAGAGGCCACAACAGTGAGAGGCCCAGGTACCGCAAAAAAAAAAAAAAAAAATTAAAAATAGAGTTGCCATATGATTCAGCAACCCCACTCCTGGGCATATATCCAAACAAAACTATAATTTGAAAAGATACATGCACCCCTATATTCACAGCAGCACTATTTACAATAGCCAAGACATGGAAACAACCTAAATGTCCATTGACAGATGAATGGATAAAGAAGATGTGGTATATATATACAATGGAATATTACTCGGTCATAAAAAATATGAAATAATGCCATTTGCAGCTACATGGATGGACTCAGAGATTACTGCACTAAACGAAGTAAGTCAGAAAGAGAAAGACAAATGCCATACGATATCACTTATATGTGGAATATAAAATATGACACAAATGAACTTATCTACAAAAAAGAAACAGACTCAGACATAGAGAACAGACTTGTGTTGCCAAGGGGTAGGGAGTGCGGGGGAGGGTTGGATTGGGAGTTTGGGACTAGCAGATGCAAACTATTATATATAGAATGGATAAACAATACAGTCCTATTGTATAGCGCAGGAAACTATATTCAATATCCTGTAATAAACCATAATAGAAAAGAAAAAAAAAAGACTCACTGGGATGCTTAACGAGCCCAGGAAAATGGTATATGAAAAAAATAAGACTAGCAATAAAGAGATGGAAAATATTAAAAAGAACCAAACAGAAAATTTGGAGCTAAAGAATACAATAACTGAATTGAAAAATTCACTAGAGGTGTTCAACAACAGACTTGATTATGGAGAAGAAATAAACAGCAAACTCGAGGACAGGCCATTTGAAATTATCTATTATTGTTGGAGAAGCAAATTTTTTTAAAGTGAAGAAAGCCTAAGAGACATATGGAACACCATCAAGTGGATTAATAGATGTAATATAGGAGCCCCAGAAGGTGAAGAGACAGAAAGAACGGAGCAGAAATCTTATTTGAAGAAATAATGGCTCCAAACTCCCCAAGTCTGAGGAAGGAAACAGACACCCAGATTCACAAACAAAAATGAGAAAGGAATCAAATCATGTCACTAAAACAAATCAGTGAAACACAAAGACATCAAGAGAGGGGCAAAAAAAGCTACAAAGCAGACAGAAAACAATGAACAAATAGACAATAGCATATCCTTCTTTATAAGTAACTATTTTAAATGTAAATTAAACTCCCTAATCAAAAGCTATAGAGTGGCTGAATAAATTAAAAACAAAACAAGATCCAATTATATGCTGTCTACAGGAGACTCACTTCAGGTTTAAGAACACACACAGGCTGAAAGTGAAAGGTTGGAGAAAGATATTCTGTGCTAATGGTAACCAAAAGAGAGCAGGAGTGGCCATACTTATATCATATAAAATATATTTTAAGTCAAAAACTGTCACAAGAGTAAAAGAAGGACATTTTATAATGATAAAAAGGTCAATTCACTAAGAAGATATAGTAACTATAGATATATATGCACCCAACATCAGAGTACCCAAATATATAAAGTAAACATTAACAGAACTGAAGGAAGTAATAGTCAGGAACACAGTAATATTAAGAGATGTCAATATCTCACTTCCAATAATGAATAAACTATCCAGAGAGAAGATCAATAAGGAAACACAGGACTTTAACAATGATATAGATCAAATAGACCTAACAGACGACACAGCAAAATATTCCACCACCAGCAGCAAAACACACATTTTTTTCAAGCACAGTTTTAACTCTCTCCAGCATGGATTACATGTTAGGTCACAAACAAAGCCTTAACAAACTTAAGAAGACTGAAATCATACCAAGTATCTTTTCTAACCACAATGGAATTAAGCTAGAAATCAGTAGCAGAAGGAAAAATGGAAAACACAAATATGTAGAAATTAAACAACACTCTCTTGAACAACCAATGGACCAAAGAAGATATCTAAAGGGAAATCAGAAAATATCTTGAGACAAACAAAAATGAAATACACATACCAAAACTTGGGACGCAGCAAAAGCGGTACTAAGAAAAGTTTATAGCTGTAAAAGCCTACGTCTAAAAAGAAAGATTTCAAATATGCAACTTAACTTTATACATTAAGGAACTAGGAAAAGAAAAACTAAGCCCAAAATTAGCAGAAGGAAGGAAATAATAAAAATTAGGGCAGAAATAAATGAAATAGAAAAATGGAAAAGAATCAATGAAACTAAGAGTTAGCTTTTGAAAAGATAAAACTGACAACCTTTAGCTAGACTAAGAAAAAAAGAAGACTCAAATATATAAAATCATTATACTGATGCCACAGAAATAAAAAGCATTGTAAGAGACTACTCTGAACAACCATACACCAACAAATTGGAAAACCTAAAAGAAATGGATAAATTCCTAGAAACATACTACCTACCAAGGCTGAACCATGCAGAAATAGAAAATCTGAACTTATCTATAACTAGTAAGGAGATTGAACCAGTAATCAAAACCTCCCAACCAAAAAAAAAAAAAAAAAAAAGCCCAAGACCAGATAGCCTCAAAGGAGAATTCTACAATTTTTAATTTATTTATTTATTTATTTTTGCGGTACGCAGCCCTCTCACTGTCGTGGCCTCTCCCGTTGCAGAGCACAGGCTCTGGACGTGCAGGTTCAGCGGCCATGGCTCACGGGCCCAGCCGCTCCATGGCACGTGGGATCTTCCCAGACCGCGGCACGAACCCGTGTCCCCTGCATCGGCAGGTGGACTCTCAAGCACTGTGCCACCAGGGAAGCCCTCTACAAAAATTTTTTAAAAAATTAATGCCAACTCCTGAGAACTCTTCCAGAAAACTGAAGAGGAGGGAACCCTTTCAAATTCATTTTAAGAGGTCAGCATTATCCTGATACCAAAGCCAGAAAGACACTACAAGAAAAGAAAACTGCAAGCCAATATCCCTGATGAACACAGATGCAAAAATCTCAACAAAATATTAGCAAACCGAATTCAATAGCACATTAAAAGAATTATACACCATGACCAAGTGGGATTTATCCCTGGAATGCAAGGATGGTTCAACATACAAAAATCAATCAATGCGATACACCACATTAACAGAAAGAAAGATAAAATCACATGATCATCTCAGTAGATGCAGAAAAGGCATTTGACAAAATTAAACATCCTTTCATGATCAAAAAAAACGAACTAGGAATAGAAGGAAATTACCTCTATATAATGCAGATCATATATGAAAAGTGCACAGCTAACGTCATTCATACACAACAGTGAAAAACTGAAAGCTTTTCTTCTAACATCAGGAATAAGGAAGGCAAGGATGTCCACTCTTGCCACTTTTATTCAACATAACATTGGAAGTCCTAGCTACAGCAATTAGACATGAGAAAGACAAAAAAGACATCAAAATTGGAGAGATACAAAATCAACATATAAAAAGCAATTGTTTCTATACAATAAAAATGAATAATCCAAAAGGAAAATTAAGAAAACAATTCCATTTACAATGTCATCAAAAAGAACAAAATACTAGGAATAAATTTAACCAAGGAAGCTAAATAGTTGAACACTAAAAACTACAAATCACTACTGAAAGAATTTAAAGACACAAATAAATGGAAAGACATCCCATGTTCATGGATTAGAACACTTAATACTGTTCATACTACTCAAAGTGATCTACAAATTCAGTGCTATTCCTATCAAAGTCTCAACGGCATTTTTTTAAGAAACAGAAAAAACAATCCTAAAATTCATGTGAAACCACAAAGAACCCTGAATAGCAAAAACAATCCTGAAAGAAAACAAAGCTGGAGGCTTCACACTCCTAACTTCAAAATATATTACAAGCCTACAGTAATCGAAACAGCATAGTACTAGCAGACAGATAGACCAATATAACAGAATAGAGATCCTAGAAATAAACCCACACAAATACAGTAAAATAATCTTCAAACAAGGGTGCCAAGACTACACAACGGGAATAGTCTCTTCAACAAATGGTACTAGGAAAACTAAATATCTCATGCAAAAGAATGAAATTGGACCCTCATCTTACATCATATACAGAAATCAACTCAAAATGGATTAAAGACTCCCGTATGATCCAACAATCTCACTTCTGGATATTTATCCAAAAGAACTGAAAACAGGATCTCAAAGAGATATTTGCATTCCCATGTTCATTGGAGCTTTATTCACAATAACCAAGAGGTGGAAACAACCTAAATGTCTACTGATGATTGAATGGATAAAGAAAATGTTGTATATACATTGAATGAAATATTATTTTGCCTTAAATATGACAAGGAAATCCTGTCATATGCTACATAATGGATGAACCTTGAGGACATTATTATGCTAAGTGAAATAAGCCAGTCACAGGAAAAATACTGCACGATTACACTTAAATGAGGGATCTGAAGTAGTCAAATTCACAGGAGCAGAAAGTAGAATGATCGTTGCCAGGGGCCAGGTGGAGGGGAATTAGAAAGTTGTGTTTAATGGGTATAAAGTTTCAGTCATGCAAGGTGAAAAAGAGATCTGCTGTACAACAATGTGCATATAGTTAATACTGTACTGTACACTTAAAATTTTGTTAAGAGGGTAGATTTCATGTTACGTGTCTTTTACAATTAAAAAAAAAGGGGGGGCTTCCCTGGTGGCGCAGTGGTTGAGAGTCCGCCTGCCGATGCAGGGGACACAGGTTCGTGCCCCGGTCCGGGAAGATCCCACATGCCGCGCAGCGGCTAGGACCGTGAGCCATGGCCGCTGAGCCTGCGCGTCCGGAGCCTGTGCTCCGCAACAGGAGAGGCCACAACAGTGAGAGGCCCGCGTACTGCAAAAAAAAAAAAAAAGAATGCTGTCCCAGAAAGATGCACCATTCACCAAGCTTGGTGGAAAAACAACCCCGTGTTTCTGACAAAGACCAAGACTTCGAGTTCAACCTTACAAACTGTCATTGGAAGTTAAAAAGAAAATGATTTACCCCACCCATTCCCACTATTTTAGGATGTAATTTTTCTTAAACTGCACTTTTGTAAACAGAGCAAAACATTCTCTGCTCCTAAATAAGACAAGTCCATTAACTATTTTTAAAAAAGGGCCTCTGGGTAACCCTGCTAACCACCAGCTTTGGAAGCCACCATGAATGAAAGCAGAGAGAGTAAGAGATGCAGGAAGTCCCAGGTTAAGTGTGTAAAGGAAAAAATGTACCAGACAAATCCTTACCAGTCCACTGCCAAGGGCCAGCCTTTGCTCTGGCGCCGGGCGTCTGTAGGCAGAATGTGGAACTTGGAACACGCACTGGAACCTGGCACTGTTGCTTCCTTCTTTCTGCAGACCCTCACAGTTTGACCAGGCAGCTCGAATCCAAAGAGCCAGACTGTCACTGGGGAAGGCGGGCCAAACCAGCCAAAAGGAGGCCAAGAGGAATTTCCTTGGCACAGAGGCCTCAGCTGGGGGCTACGCTTGCATGCCCAGAATCTCAATTAAGTTGGCACATGGTGGGCCTCAGCTCTGGGGTGGGCTCACCTTAACCAAGCTGTCAGAAACAGGTATGTATGTGAACCCAGGCAGCCAGTTTATTAAGTTACTAGTGAAAAATACAGCTGTCATGTTGGCAGGTCATGGCCCTCTTTTCCTGTATGTGAGTCGCCTGGGAAGCCAAATCCAAAGGTTGTTTTAGTGAGAAACCAGAGCAAGCAAAACTTGCCAGACAGCCTTTCAGAATGCCACACCAGCCACAGGGGCTGGCATGCTCTGGTCCATCAGGGAGGACATCCTCTCCAAGCCCAGACAGGGCTTAAGGAGGCATCGCCGGCTTCCACAGTATGGTTGCTGGAGTGAGACTGCTGGAATTCAGATCCTACTTCTGCACTTAACATTTGTATGACTTTGGGAAAGCAGCTCATGCCTTGAAGCCTCAGTTTCTCCATCCGTAAAATGGAAATAATAATAGCATGCACATCATAGGATTATTGTGAGGCTTAAATGGAAGAAGTGAATGTTTAGCATACTGCTAAGCACAAAGTTAATCTTCACGCTTGGTAGTTACTGTCATTATCAGCATCACTAGTACTATATTATTACTAGCTCTTCCCCTCCGCTTTAAGCCTCATCACAGTCACTCTCTGTGTGTACAGAGTACTTATGACTGATTTGATTTCCACTCCCTAAAATAAGTAGAAACACATCCTAGTCTTGCTTCCTTATATTAAAATTAGGAGCCCTGCACGGAGTTTGGGAACCTCCCGGCACTTCGTGGCACATTCACCCATGGTCTCAGGTGGCCAGCCATATCCTTGGTGATGGTAGGTAAAGTCCTGGAATTCCAGGGCTCTTGGGCTGAGGCTGGGGTAGAGTCATCCCACAGCCTGTCACAGTCTCTGAATCTGCAGTCCTGAGTTCTCATACTTCTTCTGACTCCCACTTCTACTCAGTCTATCAGTGCTGGGACTTGAAGGCAGCTGCAGGGTGGGGCAGGGCTAAAAGTCAGGAATTGAACAAGTAAGTGTCTCTGCATGAACTCGGGTGCCCGAGTAATGTGTCTGGCAGATGTAACTTCCAGTCTGTCTGGGATGGGGATTATGAGCCCACTTGAGCCTGTGGCTTGAACAAAACAACAAAACGAACTTAAGAAATGTGAAACACACGTGTCGGCTCTTGCACAAGGGCACAGGATTCTCCATTCAGATAAGCAGGCTTGCACTGTAAGTGGCATCCACCCTGCCCATGTTTGGGGCTGGGGGCAGATCTAGAGCTCTCCAAGACAGTCGTACTCCCATAAACTATTCAGTACTGGGCTTCCCTGGTGGCGCAGTGGTTGAGAGTCCGCCTGCCGATGCAGGGGACACGGGTTTGTGCCCCGGTCTGGGAAGATCCCACATGCCGCGGAGCAGCTGGGCCCGTGAGCCGTGGCCGCTGAGCCTGCGCGTCTGGAGCCTGTGCTTCACAACGGGAGGGGCCGCAACAGTGAGAGGCCCACGTACTGCAAAAAAAAAAAACAAAAACAACTATTCAGTACTAGGGTTTCTTCATTGCCCCCCAGACACATCAGGCTCAGTCTTACCTAACAGCTCTTGATCTTACAGTTCTCTCAGCTACAATGCCTTCCTCTGCTCCTCTCCACTTACCTAAATCCCACCTACATCTTCAGTCCAGTTTGAGCCCCACTACCTCCTTGACCTCTGGACTCCTCCTCAAAATGACAGCATGGCCTATTTTCCAGATATAATTCAGAGCTGGATTCGGAGTCTTCTGATGCTCTAGTTACCTTCCTTCCTCCAGGAAATTCCTTGAGGACAAGAATCTCTTTCTCTAGCAGGGGCTGGATGCAGACAGGCACTGGTTAAACATGAATTGATTGGATTAAGGCCCTGAGGCTGGGGCGGGTGTGTGTGGGGTACTTTCTTTTTTACTGTGAAATGTAATACACATTCAGAAAAGTGTATGGCTTAATGAATTATTATGAGGCAAATATCCTGTAACCAGCACCCGGGTCAAGCAGCAGGACATTGCCAGCATCCCCAGAAACCCCTTCTTACGACCTTAGGGAAGAAGACATTTCAAAACTGATGATTTTGTATTTGTAGGTATAAGAGGCATTCTTAGAGGAAGTGTGGGCTTGGAAATCTCTCCTCCCCGGCCTCACCTGTGTGATCCGGTGTGCACCTTGGGGAATCCTCGTCACCATTAGCGGGAAGAAGGGGTGGCAGGCGTGCTTGGTGGGCAAAATGTGTCCGTCACCCTGAAGCCCTGCCCAGACCCTGAAGCAACTGTTCCTCATTCTAGCTGGGATTTGTAAGTAAGTCTGAGGGTGGATGTGTCTGGGTGTGGGCTCCGTAACCCTGGCTGAAAGAGAAGCAGCGCCAAACCAGGGCCTCCAGACACTCAGACATTACAGCGTGAGGAAGGGAAGGGGCTTGCCAGAGCTCGGAGCATGGGGCAACTTGCAGGGCCCAGGAAGTGGGCGAAGCAATTTAGAATACTAAATTTAAATACTAAACATGTGGGAAGGGGGACTTCCCTGATGGAGCAGTGGTTAAGACTCCATGCTCCCAAGGCAGGAGGCTGGGGTTTGATCCCTGGTCAGGGAACTAGATCCCACATGCATGCCACAACTAAGAGTTCTCATGCCATGACTAAGGAGCCGGCGAGCTGCAACTAAGTAGCCCACCTACTGCAACTAAGGAGCCCACGTGCCACAACTAAGGAACCAGCAAGCCGCAACTAAGGAGCCCATGAGCCACAACTAAGGAGCCCACTGGCCTCAACTAAGGAACACACATGCCACAACTAAGGAGCACACATGCCACAACTAAGGAGCCTGAGAGAGTCACAACTAAGGAGCGCACTTGCTGCAACCAAATAAATAAATAATTTATAAATAAATATGTGGGAAGGGGGCATTCCCTTTTCTGTCTTTCAAGAAATATTTGTTGAACATCTACCATGTGCCAGGCACTGTGTAGACACTGGAGATAGAGAACAAGCAGACACCAGCCCACCTCCCAAGCCTACGACGTCATGAGGGAGATGTACAGATAAACAGGAAATCACACTACAGTGTGATCTGTTAGGAATCAGCAGTTCCAAGAAAGCTAAGCAAATGAAGGGATCCAATCCCTAAAAGCCCCTCCCCAGCTCACCATGGGCTCTTTTATAATGAACTTCTCTGCAACCAGGTAGACCATGTAGTGGGTGGTTTGGGACACACCATTAGTGACCACACATGTTTTAACTGGAGGCAGGTCACCTGGAAAAGGTTAGCTAGTAGACAGTATTCGTGAAGGAGGATTTATCCAAATAGGCAAGAATCGATCAAGCTGTGATGGATACCTGACTCGAAGCAATACCTTGGGGTTTCCAGAGAGGACTTTGGTTCAGAAATATGGAAAGGTACCTGCACCCAACATGGGATGTGATAAAAGCCAGGAGAGCACACAGGCTGTGTGGCCACAGGCTTCAGCTGAAGGAGTCGTCCTCTGAGCAAGGGGTCAAGCTGGGAGGGAGAAGTACAGATGGGCACTGAAGAACAAACAATTCTGAGCAGCAGGAAGAGAGAGTGAGATTGTCTAGACAGGGAGAACACTGTGGGCAGAGACACCGTACTGGGAATGTGTAGGAGGTCTGAGTGCAGAGAACAGATTGGTGTGGCAGCAGACAGGCCTGCAGTGGCAGTGGGAGTGAGTGATGTCTAGAAAGACGGAGTTCAACTGGGGAAGGTTTGAAATGTCACACTGAGAGCTGGGACATTAGGCTAAGGAGCCCTATCAAAGGCTTCTCAGTAGGGATGTAACTTGGCCATACCTGGGTTTAGAAAGATTAGCCTGGTGATGGTGGAGGCAGGAGAGCCTGGCTGTAAGTAAATGCCGGGTCGAGACTGCATGGATGAGGGCTTGGACATGAACACGAGATGGAAGATGTGGTACAAGAGCCAGCAGGTTTGATGACTCAGGGACTGGCCCTGGCAGCACCTGCTGCAGCTCCACCCACAGGGCTGAGCAGCTCAGCTCAGCGTGAAGATGTGGGAAAGCGGGTGTGATGCACCCTGCTCCCTCCCGAGCCAGCTGTGGGGAGACAAAGCAGCAGCCAGAGAGTTCATTTGGTCTGAAAGTAAAAGGAGACACCCAGAGCGGAAATCAGAGAAGTGTCCACAAAGCTTTATCCCTGCTTCAATTGCTGATAACTAAGGGGCCACATACAGTTTTAATCTAAGAACTCCATCCCAGTGGCAAAGCAGGCTTTGGTTGGGGCTGGAGAAAGCTAATGCCACTACAGGCAGGCAGGTAATATAAAGGAGAGAACCGGGCAGGGTCAGAAACATTTCTCCCCAAATAATTTACATTAAGAATTCACAACTTAGGGCTTCCCTGGTGGCGCAGTAGTTAAGAATCCACCTGCCAGTGCAGGGGACATGGGTTTGATCCCTGGTCCAGGAAGATCCCACATGCCGTGGAGCAACTAAGCCCGTGCGCCACAACTACTGAGCTTGCGCTCTAGAGCCCGCGAGCCACAATTACTGAGCCCATGTGCCACAACTACTGAAGCCCGCGTGCCTAGAGCCCGCGCTCCGCAACAAGAGGCCACTGCAATGAGAAGCCGGTGCACTGCAATGAAGAGTAGCCCCCGCTCGCCACAATTAGAGAAAGGCCGCGCGCAGCAACAAACACCCAACGCAGCCAAAAATAAATAAATAAAATAAAAAAATTTATATATAAAAAAAGAATTCACAACTTGATTTCTCCTTTTCAAACGTCTGCAGGAAGGTTACTTCAAAGGAATCAAGTTCCCCCCAAGAGCAATTTGCCACAAAGTTGCATAGCTAAAGGTTTTCAGTGGTGGTTCCCCCCACCTGCAAAAAAAAAAGGCCCTTCTGTTTCATCCCTGCCTAAAGGGCCCAGGCTTCTGCTGCCTTTTGGAAATGGGGACTTGGGCACAAGATCTGATATTTTAAAGAAGCCGGAAATCCCATTTAAAAAGTAAAATCCATTTATCTTTTTTCTTTGTCTTATTGTGGTAAAATACACGTAAGTTTTTATCATTTTAACCACTAAGTAATGTTCAGTGGCATTAAATATATTCACATTGTTGTGCAACAGACACCACCAATCATCTCCAGAACTTCGTACCCATCAAACACTAACCCCCATTCCCTCCTCTCCCTAGTCCCTGGCAACCACCATGCTACTTTGTGTCTATGAATTTGATTATTCTAGGAACCTCATAGAGGTGGAATCATTTAATATTTGTCCTTTGTGACTGACTTATTTCGCTTAGCATAATGTCTTCAAGATTCATCCATGTCATAGCACTTGTCAGAATCTCCTTCCTTTATAAGGCTGAAGAACATTCCATTGTATGTACATATCACATTTTGTTCAGTCATCAATGGACATCTGGGTTGCTTCCACCTTTTGGCTATTGTGAATAACATTCCTCTGAATGTGGGTGTACAAATATCTGTTCAAGTCTCTGCTTTCAATTCTTTGGGGTACTTACCTAGAAGTGGAATTGCTGGATCACATGGCAATGCTGTTTCCTTTTTTGAGGAAACTGCCCCACCATTTTCCCCAGCGGCTGCACCATTTTATAATCTCACCAGCAATGCAACAAGCGTTCCAATTTCTTCACATCCTCACCTATTTTTGTTATTTTCTGGTTTTTTGATAACAGCTTTCCTAATGGGTGTGAGGTGGTACTCATTATAGTTTTGATTTGCATTTTCCTAATGATTAGTGATGTTGAATATCTTTTCACATGCTTATTGGGCATTTACATATTTTCTTTGGAGAAATGTCTATTCAGGCCTTTTGCCCATTTTAAAAATCAGGTTGTTTTTGTTGTTTAGTTGTAGGAGTTCTTACAACTTTGTGGTCCTGAGCACTCAACTCCAGCTGCCAGCCAGGTAGCCACTCAGCAGAGCCCCTAGAGCAGGGTTTTTCAAAGTGTGGGCCGTGAAGCCAAATGGAATAGAAAACCCAGAGTTCATTACAGGTAGTTAAGTTTAAGTGTTGTTCTGTCAAACCTTTGTTAAATATATGATATATATGTACATACGTATTCTGGTTCACAATGAAAATGTATGGGTTACTGTGATTTGCTGTACAAAACATTTGGAAAACACTGACTTCATGTTAATTGAATCCACCCTCCTTAGAAAACAACCATCGTTACTCAAGCAGACCCTTGTAAGTTCTCCCACAATCGATTAATCAAAGTATTCGTCTCCCAAAACACGCCCCCTTTAAGGTGGGGATGGGGGTGGGTGGGAGTGGTCTGAGATTCTGGCTACAAGATGTATAAGCAGCTTATATGGCTACTATCTATTGAGTGTGTCCCACGGGCTGGTTGGTCACAGGACGTCACGGGATGGTAACCAAGGGTGGGAACCAG